GGAAGTCTTCTGCATTGCAGAAAATTAACTAAGTAATAACAACCCTATTCAGACACCCGTTTTTATCTTAGTCCTAATTAAACTTCTGCACCTGCCCTGCGCTACAGTAGAGTGTGACATGAAGCTCAGTTAGAAGATACTACAGAAGTCTAGTGCATCATGCATTCCTCCCCAGGGATATTGCCACTCAAAACAGAAATTAAGTGGAATCATAACACAGAGATGCGCAAATACTGATATAAAATAGCCAAAAAAAAAACCCAAACAGGAGACATTTTGTGTCTTTTGTGTCAACCTGGTACATACCTGTTGGTTTTCCACTGAGAATCAACAAAAAAAAGAAATGGGGGGGTTGGAGATTTTTTTTGGTTTTGGTCAAAATATGCTGCCACTCTCTCAACAAAGGGTTGTATTTCTTAATTAAAGTGTATTCCAAATAGAAAGTGGAAGTATAACTTCATTTCCATGAAAAGCTACATACTTTTCAAGACTTCCTCCCTCCAAACACTTGAGGCAAAAATGAAACATTGATCCAAACTACAACTTTGAACTTCTTTTACTTTGAAATAAAAGCTTTAGTGAACAAACTGAAGCTTCTTCTGAATGTATGGACAGATTAATTTCAGTTAGAGGAAGAAGAAATGCATTTGAATGAAAGTTTCAAAAGCTATATAACTTTATATATGCATCAAACTTGAGTTTATTTTAGGTCAATATTTCTGAGACAAAGTTGTGAATCTGGCAAACTTACACTCAGAGCTTGAGACAACTGAAAGACCTCTTTCTTCAGTTAATTTTAAGTTTAATATATGAATTGAGACATGCAGTCTGTTGTGGTTTGGGCACACTGTCCTGCCTCTCAAAGTTAAATAGTCATGAGATGAACTTCAGTGCATGGAAAGGAAAGCCTCTATGCTTCCATTTGGAATGTTGCAAAATGTGGAAAACAGGAAAGTATAGAAGAATCCTACATTTTGTAGCAGCCTGTAGTAACCTGAAGACAGAGACATCCTCCATGACACATGAGAATGGAGATGTGCACACAAGCCATCTCCAAATGCAAACTGAAGAGCGAAGGATCAACAGATTCCAGGATTTCTTTTTGAAGGGTCTCTGAATTAACATAAGAACACAATAGCAAGCAACGGTATCTAAACACAACTCTTCCTAGTTTAAAATTATTAGAAACATTGTTTTGACTGCTAGGGCAAGGAGAGAGTAGGGCTGCTCCCAAGAAAACAAAACCTCATTGACTGCCTGAGCAGTCAAATGCTACATACTTTTGAAGCTTTTCAGAGCACTACATAAAGTGTTTTCAAAAAAACTCCTCTGTTAAGTTTATGGGCATAACCTAGTTGAAAGTTGTTGCTTGATGCAGCCTGGGATGCAATTGGCTTTCTGGGCTGCAAGTGCACATTGCTGGCTCATACTCCGTTTTTTTATCTACTAACATCCCCAAGCCCTTCTCTTCAGGACTTCTTTCAGTCCACTCACATCACCCAGCCTATATTTGTGCTTGGGATTGCCTCAACCCATGTGCTAAACCTTGCACTTGGCCTTGTTGAACTTCATGAGGTTTGCACGGGCCCACCTCTGAAGCCTGTGAAGGACCCTCTGGATGTCATCCTTTCCTTCCAGCATGTCAACCACACCACATCACTTGGTGTCATCAGCAAACTTGCTGACAGTGCACTTGATCCCACTGTCCATATCACAACAAAGTCTTAAACAGTGCTGGTTCCAATACCAACCTCTGAGAAACACCATTTGTCACTGGTCTCTACTTGGACATGGAGCCATTGACCACAACTCTGAGTGTGACCATCCAGCACCATTCAAATACTAGGAAGAATATTTACATCTACAGGTGAATTTGGTTCACCAGTCACTGAGGAATGCGAGTGAAAGAAATCTTCATTCTGAACCTTAGCTACTCTTTCCTCCTGCAGAAAAGCTGTCCATTAAAACAAACAAAAAATCCAGTAAGATGAACACAAGAACTGAAGCACACACAGGATTTACCACTGGCCATCAAATTATTTGAACTACTCTGGTATTTAGGCTGAACATGTCCTCTTCTCCAATATTTGACTGAAAGGTTATGCAAACAGCGTTAGAAGTACCTGTTTTTAAGTTTAACAAAGAAAAACAAGTAGTTTCTTCTGAAATTTTTCTGTCTTTATAGTTTCCTACTTGCACACAACATGTTCCTATACTTCTTCTTTAAAAGTGTGTATTTTAAAATACAACATAAGAATTCAAGTGACTGGATCTAAATCTCTACTGAAAAGTTATAAAAGGAAGTTCTGTAAAAAATCACCATAAAGACAAAACAAGAATAATGAATAGACATTTCTATACAATTGCATTTATACTTCAGCTGTGATGGATGTAATTTAGAAAAAACCCAACCAACCCCCAAAATCAAACCAACTTTATATATTTAGTCGTCAAAGCAGCTTCAGTTCCACATCTAAGTCTCGTAAATAAGTACCTGAACACTTTAATCACTGTGAGCTGGAGTTTAGCTGCCTGCCAGGCAAATAAAAAGTTCTAGCCAGAAATTAATAAAACACAAGAGCAAAAAAGGAAATAAAACTCTACATTCTCATATCGCACAATTCAAGTTTATTCCATTCATTCTTGCAACACGAACTTAAAAATACAGTATCATTTAGCATTCTGATGTCTATGAACCATGATGATGATGAACCCAACTGTGTCAAAACAGTTAACAGCGAAAAGAGGAAGTTAAATATCAAAATGCACAAAGCACTAATTTTCTTCTGTCACTGTGTAGAAATATGATTGTTCATCCATTTACAAAATGTAATTAAGACAAGTTCATCTTGAAGTTTTGCATGCAACATTGCAATTGCTTGAGCTAGAACACTCCATTCTTACCAGCCTCTTCTACAAAGAATTCAATGTTATGTTCAAGGATAAAGTTCCATTTAACTGTCATACTCCTCATCCCATCCGCTCCCCCTAAGAAAAAGGAGCAGAGGGCACAAAATCCAAAATAGACTTGAGGTTTTAACTTATTCAGCAAAATTTCAAAGGAAACGGTTTAAGAACAGAGTGGATTTCCAAGTATATGCTATTCCAGTCTGACAAAGTATTTAAATTATGTTTACGGAATGCAAAATAATTTACAGTTTGGTTTTTTCAACTAGTTAGGACCTACTGAAAGATAGAAAGACAGAGGCAGCCACCTGTTTCTTTTTCCCCCACTACATAGCTAGCAAGAAATGAACAAGCCCAGTTTCTAAACAATTACGAAAGCAAAAGCGCCTTTTTTTTTTTTTTTCTTTTAAGTCCTGGGCAAAATGATCAATCACCTTTTATGTAGTGCAAAAAGCAAAAAAGTTTTTTCTTCTTTATATGCCAAACATTAAATGCCATCTTTTAACTATCTTGAAAGGCAGCTTGGGTATATATTACAGCCAAATTAACACTTGTCTCACTGAAGTTTGTTCGCATTTTTTTTTTCCCCTCAAGTGAAGTAAGAAAAAATGTGTCCACATAATTGTAGAAAAAGGGAGACAAAATTGCCTCAGTGAATCACCAGAAGAGTTAGTACAAAGATGACGTTTCTTTATTATGACAGTGCTCACTTAAATGAGAGTTGAAGGGCAGGAAAAATACAGAGAAAAAAAGACCCCAGATCCCAAAAATGCTATGGCCAGACAAGTTGACACTAATGAACACAAAAAACTTGAATAATCAAGTTTCCCACATAAGATTGCTGCTTTCTAGACTAGTATTTTAATAGCTAGGTTTTTAATAGCATAATATGGAGGCAAATTTATGCCAAAGATGGTTACTTTCATAGCTGAATGAAGAGTTAAACCTACAGTCTGTGTTCACACTATTGCAATGACATGGCAATCCAGCACTGATTAGAAATAAGATTAAAGAGGTCTCTTTAAATAGTCATTAAAAGCACTGTTCATCAAACATGCTTGTTCTTTTATCAGCAGCTCACCAACTGATTTATCACCGATTTCCAACCCTTCAGCTCCTCCTTGCCACCCACCTCCAAGAAGCAAAGAGCAATTGCACTGTACAGTTTATAGCCAGAGCTCACTGTTTTCTCCATTACTTATGGGATGTGTACATGTACATCAGTTTCTGCTCCCATTTTACAGTCTAAAAGCAATGCTTTTTATAGCTGAGACATTCAATCACAATATGCAACACGATTCAAGTAAATCTAAGTCTCCATTAAATATGAGTGGTAGTCACCAGCCTACTTCTACATAGCCTCTCAATTTCAACAGTGATATCAAAATAATCTTGACTACTTTTATTTAAGAATTCAGCATGAGACATTATATACATTTCTCTTGTGTACGGTTAATGTTATCAGAAAATTTGAAATCTGTATTCAAAAAAAGAAAATGTATAGTTTGTGGTATACACTTTTCTCTTATAAAACCTGTTATTCAGTTTGGGCTGAATCAGCAGTCTAACAAAAATTTTCAAGATGAAAGCCAGAAGCTAATACATTCCTGAGGACCATAAGAAGACAGGAATCCCTACAACACCATTAAATACCTTTCCATGAATTAAGACTATCATAGTACTGTCACACCTACTGGCATAGTAAATCTTATCTAAAAGTCAATGGTTAATATGGTCTGGTTGCACTGGGAACTTTCAGAACAAGCCGCATGCCTTAATGAAATTTAAGAGGTTCATTCAGTCAACAATGAAACACCAATTCCAAGATATGCATAATTAAAATTTGCTTTTTTTTTCTGCCAGTAGTTACAGTAAGTTAAGACTTCTATTTGTACATCTTTCTGTTCCTAACATCTGAACTTAGAAAGCCTACATGAATTTTAAAAGTTTACCAGAAACATTTAGCAATAACATTCATCTGGTATGAATGTCTAAATGATTACTGTTCATTTTCCACATTTAATTTGATTATCTTTGTGTATCAAACAGCCTGTAGCTTTCACACACATGTATAAATTTTATGCTGATGTGGTGAGTAAAGCAATACCATCTTAAAATCCTTTTGGAAATAGAGGGACATTTTTAACTCTTTCAAAACCAGTTGCTTAAATGGTCTGTCCTGGACTAGAACAAACATGGGAAAGAAAAATCTCAAATTCAAGCATCCAAAAGTACCTTGGCAGATATTCTGGAGTGTAACACCACCACACCTCAATTGATCTTTCCTGGTTTACTCAAGAGTCAGAAAAACATTAGTGTGACATCTAATTAGTCAAAAGAAAGAACAGCTCCAATAACTAGTATGAAAAATCCTCAAAACTGCAACGTAGCTTTAGGCAGAAGAAGAATAAAGATACCCACTGAGAGAGAAGAGAGAAAAGCAACCCAGCCACCTACATTACTACAATTCAGATTATGGCAGACACTAATACCATTGGACTATTGTCTCCTTCACAATTAATTTCAGCTATATAGCACAGTACTTCCATCTAAAGGAATCATTCAACAAAAATCTTAGTACTAACCTAGGAGGTTTACAAACCAAAAATCAAGATCATGTCTTCCTTCTTCCATTTTCACTAGAAATGGGAAGAGATTGTGCACTGAAAAGAAGTCCTAGAGGGACAACGCTCATAATAGTTTTCAACCCTCTCCAAACAGATTATCTTTGATACAAGATCCTAACTAGTCTGATTCATAAAGAATTTCCCTCCCCCCAAAGTATTTAGCTGAAGAAGCTGGAAGATGCAAAGAGTGACAGACAGGCAGCAGTGTGAGGCCACAGGAGAGACATTTAAGATATCAGTCCATCCATCACTGAAGAAGAGTTTTGATTGCCTGGTTGTCAGTGGCTTCAAAGGCAGTTAGTCCATCTGGGCCTTTCACAGTCTTATCAGCACCCTGTAAAGACATTGAGAAGGACTGTCAATTCATAAAGCCAAGCTGCATTAGTATTAACTGTGTCACAACAGTTACTTACCTTGGATAATTATATTGACTAGATACAGCTTTTCAGTACAGTGCATGTTTTCATTTAGAAACCAAACAGGCTAGATTTACATACTAAACTATTTGGCATGCAGCTAATCTAAGTTTCAAACTTTATACTTTAGGAGTAGAAAAAAAAGTCGCAACTTTTGTCACACAGCAAGTCGCAAGATCAACATATTATCAATTAATCTTGGACAGAAAGAGAAAGATTTTGTTTCCAGCAACTACTCTATGAATGCAAATATTCAGTGTTATGCACTTCTATGAAATCTATGGTGCAACAAGCTTTTTCACATGTTAAATTAGACAAGCAACATCTGCAAGAGCTTAGTAAAAAATCATAAGATTTTCTTTGTATATCATAAAAGATTACAATCATCTAGGATTGTGCTTCTCCCCATTTTGAAAAAGTCCATACTGCTATGTAGAAGAGGAAAAAAAAACAAACACAAAACCTGCAAAATCTTTCCAAGTCCAAAACTGATAAAGCTGGTTTTAAATGAGCTGTATGTACATCTAAAAGGCAATGGAACAGAACAGGGAAGCGACAGGAAAACAGAAAAACAGAAAATCACCAACGAGACAAACTGCAGAACAGTAAGCACAAACACAGCCTCAGCACCACTATTCTGGAAGAAGAGCAAAAGAAGAGAAGCAGAGTGATTAACTAGTCAGGTCTGGTTTGAGCACTGTATAGTTGTATACATAAAAGGGAAAACCCAGACTAAATTGTAAATAGGGTAGATAAATAAAGGGATGAAAGTTGTTAGAGAACACAGGACTGACTACAAAGACAGAAGGACTTTTTTCCTGAAGTTAAGAATAGATTCCAGAACAACTTTTTCTGAGAAGATATACAAGCCTCACTTTAAAATACATGTATTGGCTCAGTCAAATGATAGGAAAACCACTATGGGTACAGACACACTTTGTCAAGAGCATGTACTGCAAGCGTTTGTCTTTACTTTATGTATAAACCCTCTGTAGAAAAAGTATGAATTTATTCTCAACTTACAAGGAAGAAAGTGCACAGATTAAGTAGTTACTATTAAGGACACAATGGACCCAGAATTTCCAGAACTTCTTCACCAATAAGATTATACACAAAACTCCACTAAACTTCCATACATAATACCATTACTGTTCCCAAGACAACTCGCAGTCTGTTGTAACTGTTTGAAGCAATCTAATAAACTGGATCTGATATTACTATGATTTCCTGCCAATACTTTTGAAAACAGAATATTTCCCTCTTTGAAACCTCTACTCTCTTTACATGGAATATTCAATCTGCAATTCTACAAAGAAGGTTTTATAGTGGTTTCTAAGGCAGCAGTGTCCATCTTGTGGTCTGCTGGCCAAACTGATCCTGAACTGGATCAGCCCCTAGAGACCCCCAGTGCAAGACATGAGCTGAACAGACTGTTTTGTCTGGTGGTAGTCAGCTGTGGGGCAAGGAAACAGGCTTCTGCTACCAGGGAAAATGCCTAGGAAAATAAAGTTGTCTTGAACCCCAGTAGAGAATTCAGAGAGGGATATTTGTAACTGCAGTAACTCCTTCCAGTCAGCTCATTTTCTCCAGTACCTTTCACACAGCAGAATACAGGGATACCTTTTGTGCACAGGCAATGGATTCACTCCAGTGACAGAAGCAATGGTAACATTTTACCCTCTCCTCTCACTGTGTAACATCCTGGTCCCAAACAGTATGCAGGCTGCTGCAGTATCACTGTTCTGTTGGGTATGAATGAGACCTGCATCAATCTGTTCCCAAGAAGTGACTTGTTGACCACTGCAAACACACGTAGGCTGAAACCACGGAAACCCATTGCTTGTCAAACATTTATTTTCCCCCTAAAAAACCCTGAGAGATTTAACAAGTATTCAACAGTTATAATCTCAGTTGTCCTGGGAGAAGAAAGGCAACTATGAAAATAGTGATGGCTTCTTTTGCAGGTGTTGAGTATTTCTACTGCAGAGATGGGACTCTCGGATTAGAATCTGTGTGGAAATCTAAAGGGCTTCAAAGCTGTTCTTTGATGTTAAGATCAGAAAAGCTGAAGGAACTCAGACTTGAAGAAAAATGGAACTATGCAGTAACTGACCTGTCAGTATTCATCTTTAGCCAGAATTTTAACCACTTTAGTTTATGTACCTCACTACCAAAGCATCAGCATTTAGAGTGTTAAAGGTGTAGCTTAACTGAAGTAACTTTAAAGTATAAAGAGAACTTTTAGTTTAGACACAGGACTGCTTTCCACTCTCAAGTACATTTGTACTTCATAAAAGTTAGACATGCAAAACCTGAGTTTCTAAAACAGTTTTACTGAATGTAGGGTAAGAACTTCATCACTGCTTAAGGAGGACAGTTTAATAAGCTCAGTGCTAATAAATTAGGAGACTAGCCCCTTAGCTAGGCAAAAGGATTCCTGCCTGCATTCAACAGAATGAAAAGCAAATAATAAAGTTCAGGTCAAGAGGACTTTAATTTTCAGAAGTACAACACTGCCTGGAAGCAAGTTTAATGACAAGTTCATAAAAGTACAATGATTCCACAGTATTCTCTATTTCCCCAAAGTAAAAAGCTTTTAACACTTTGTGTTGTGTTATTTTCTCAAAATACACACAAACATAAACTTTTTTTTTCTTTGGTAGGGTAATAACAAACAAGAACATTTGCCCTCCTAAGCCACTGGGCAAAGTAAAAAGATGCTGCCTTTGGAGCATGTTTAACAATAGCTATTACGGTACAATTGCAGTTTAGGATAAAAAAAACCCACCAACCAAATATGAAGGCAAAAGGCAGAGGAGAGTTACCCCAAATCCTGTGAAACTGGAGGCACTTAATGAAGCTGGTAGAGTGGTTCACACAGCAAGAAGCAAACTTTCAGCATGAGATGTCAGATGAAGTTACGGAGGCAAATGCAGCTTGTCCGAAAAGGATATGGATGAATTAATGGACTACCAATCTATAAACACTTCTTAAAGGGTCCAGATGTGTGTACCTCAGATCCTCAATACAACCAGCATGAACGATGGTAATAAGTGAGAAGTCATACTCAACTCTTGCAAATGACATCCCTTCTGACACTGTCAGAGGAGAAATACAGCTGCTAAATTGCCTAATTCAATTGGACAGACATTTCTTACAACACATTTTTAGTAGAAAGAGATCAAATTGCATTAGATATTTTACAAAAAGCAGAACTATACTGAAAGCTGAACAAATGGATGACATTTGTTGCATCTTTTGCAACAAACCTCATCTGCCATTAGAAGCATTCAAAATGGTTTACCTATTGAGGTATTTATAAGAGTAGTTGAAATGCTGGGGTTTGAACCCCGAGCCCCCGACTTAAGGTTGACATATGGGTGATTCCCACAGCCCTTCATAAAGAGGTGGTGAGTTTGCCTTATAGCTTCCCCCCAGGGTGCGGCCGGCCCTGCAGGGAGAGCCATAAGGGAAATGAGCCCCAGGGGTCCCGCATTGAGTTGACAAAGGTCAGGTGTCTGCTTGGGGATAAAAGGTGGGACCACTTGCAGGGAGTCAGGAGCATCTGTTTTAATATGTAGCCAGGTGCTATAGAATCATCAGGTGGTTTAGAAAATGTCGAGTAGGTCATAATTTGGAGCCACAGTTGACTCAAGAGAGAATTGAATGCATTCTTAGGGAGGTAGTGGGAGGCCAGAGGCAGGAAATTAGATCTATGAAATCTGAACTTATCCAGAAGTAATCAGTCCCAGCTCCCTGAAACTGTATAAGAGAGGCAGCAGCAAGGTATACTCTGTTTTGGCAGGCATAATATTCTAGACTTATTTTCTTCTACCAGTGAAACCCCTTCTCACTGAGCACACAGCTACAGTTCCTTTTGCAAGCATCTATTTCACCTCACTTCTCACCTCCCTGAAGTCACATCCTATTTACAGTTATAGCTGAACATTACTACAAAGGTCAAACCCAGTGTTATTAATGCAAATTGGTATTCATTTTGCCCAGCCTATTTCTTCATAAAGATTTTTCATATTATTTTCATTGCCAAAATGAAGCAATGAGAAGCTTTCTTTTATTAGCAAATTAGTTAATAATACATTTCCCAGGCAATAAACCTGTACATCCAAACAATACCATTTTGTGTGATCAGCTGCTCCCAAACAGAGATCTCCTAACATAAGCTGCTCGTCAAATATAACTACCCACAGATCTTATACTGCACAGCAAAGGAATAAAGACTTGCAGGGAAACAAAAAAACAGAACGGAATACAGCTGTGGCAAAAGTTACACAAGGGCTAGATAATCCTAAGCCTTAACTACTTCTTATTCCTTTCAACAGAATTTGTAAGGATGCATTAATTCTTAAAATATGACAATATTCCAGGTGTCTTCTGTCAAATGACAATAGCTGGTGTTTCTTTATCTTATCAAAATTTAAAAAAAAAAAAAGAAAAATTGAACCAGGCTTTCAAAATATTGATGACAAACAGGCTTGAAGAACTATTGGGAAAATATTTTTGCAAGAAGAAATATGAAGTATGGTAATGGAGAGAAAGACCAATTGTACCTTTGCAGCTAACAGTATAAGGCAAGTGTGGGTATAGGGTGCATTATTAGGGCTAAAGGGACTTCAGCTTCATCCTTCCCATCTGTTCCATGTCTCTTATTCTCAAATTTCATCTGAAATTCATCCACCTCCTTAAACAGTGCCACAGGAGACAGCTAAGCAAGCATTTAGTAAATAGCAACAAGGAAACACCATCTGCTATTTACAAAGACACTGGGTGAGCAGTAAACCAGATAAGCTGGGTTCTATTGTACATCTACAAAAACTGTAACCAAACCCAGGAGACCACCCTCTGGAACAGGCAGGTCACACTGCAAAAGCACCAAAACAATTCCCAAGGCAGCAGATAA